GTGGGCATTGTGTATTGGTCCTCCACCATTAAAGCATCCGTAAAGGAGAAACCCCAAAGACATTGTCTGGTTGTGGATGATGAGCCAGAATATGATCGTTCCGTGTTTGGAGCACACACTGGGGTGCTGGGAATATAGTCTGGGCAGTTACACTCCAGATGTGTGGAGCAGAATCAAGCCTGGAAGCTTTTGTGTGTTAGTAACTGCTGGGCAGCCCCGATGGGCAGCACCATGTGTGTCAGTCCCTTTGGGCTGGCTCCAAGGTGACTTTTCTGGCCAGAACCACACTTCTTGTTTGCACCTCGTATGCGTTGGCTACAGACACCTCTTCTGCACGGGGGGTATTTGTCAGATGCCTTCCCTTGGGTGCTCTGGAAACGCCTCCACTTGATCTTAAACAGCTTTATAGGAACTGATGCACCGTGTGATGAGATGAGCTGGAAAGCCCTAAAAATGTTCTCCTATTTTCATGATGGGCTAAAGGAGTTTTTGGGTTAGAGAAGTGCTGTGGTGTCTGTCAGAGCCCTGGGGGTGGGAGGGCACAGCCCCTGCAGCCGGTTTAGTTTTCCTCTGTGTTTTGCCATTGCAGCAGTTCAGAGCGAGAGGCAGAGGATGGGGCAGAGGCAACTTTTCAGGCAACAACAACAGCAACAGCGGCGGCAACAACGACTTCCAGAAGCGAACCAGAGAGGAGGAGTGGGATCCAGAATACACACCCAAGAGCAAGAAGTACTACTTGGTACGTGCCCAAAGTCCTGCAAATGTACATACTCTCCAGGTGTAGCTGCTCTTAAATGCTGTAGTTCAGTGACAGCTGGTGCTTTTACCTCTGTCCAGTCCCCCAGGTTAAGGCTTCAGGTGATGCTGCTTCTGGCTCATGGCTAAAGAGAACTTGTTTCTGTTCTCTGTTGAGTGGTTATCATTAAGTGAAGTTCTAAAGGCTTTAAAAGAGCACACAGTTCACAGTATTGGGAAAAACACAGCTTAAATCTCAGGCCGTGGTGCAGATGGCCTGTGTTTCTGGGTTCTTCTATTCCCATAAAGCACCCAGCTTCTGGATGGGTCAGTACTGGTCCTTTCTCTGTCTGGTGACAGCAGAGCCCTGTGAACAGCAATCAATCAGTCTGGGAGGGTCCTGGGGGGTTCTTTGAAAAGGGGGCGGTTTTAAACAGACACTAACTCATTTGGTCTCTTTGAGATTTGGGGTTACTTTAGATCCCTCATCTCTCATTAATAATCATAGAATCATAGAATGGTTTGGGTTGGAAGGGACCTCAAATATCATCTAGTTCCAACCCCCCTGCCATGGGCAGGGACATGCAGGATTTCAGTCTTGTACCTCGAACAAGAAACCCTTTATTTTATTACTATTTTTATCTGATCCTGTTGAGGGCAGAGCTGTAACTTTTTGGTGTGTCTGGTCCCTACCCTGCATTTGAGGTACAGAAATGGAGCAGTTTGAGCCCAATGACATGGTCTGTGCCTTTAGATGGCAGTACTGGCCGTACAGACAGGAGGATCTGGCCGCAGGGTTGTGTATCACAAGCTGGACTTTTCCTGCTCCTCCTTTGCCATCAGTGAGTCTGGTTCACCCTCTGTCCTTGGCTTCCCCCCGTGCAGCACGACGACCGGGAGGGCGAAGGCGCGGACAAGTGGGTGAACAGAGGCCGCGGCCGGGGCGCCTTCCCCCGGGGAAGAGGTCGCTTCATGTTCCGCAAGTCGAGCACCAGCCCCAAGTGGGCTCATGACAAATTCAGTGGAGAAGAAGGAGAAATCGAAGACGACGAGAGCGGAACGGAAAACCGGGAGGAGAAGGACCCCTTACAGACCACGGCCGAGTAGCCGCCGCGTCGGCCGGTTTGTGAGAGCCCTGGCAGGAGGGTGCCGGGGGCGTCGGGGCGATGGGGACGTGCTGAGCGGGGCCCGGAGCGCAGCTCTCAATCCATCCCCAAGTTCACTGCATTTCCAGAGTCCGGCCTCCCTCCTGGGGCTGGAACCGAGGAACCACCCACGCTTGGAGCCACTCGGAGTCCAATCTTCCCAAAGACTCACCTTCTGGACTGGGTAAGGTCGAGCGCAGGGTGAGACCCTGGATTTTCTCTCCTCTTGTGACCTTATCGAACGGTCGGTTATTTTTTTTGGTAACAGGCTCTGAAGACAACGTGGATTTTGGTTTGTGCCCATCTTAACCCAGTAGTCTTGACGTTTTTGTTTCTCTTTTATAATTTGAAATAGTAAAGGTCGGGATTAACTCGCCAGTTCAAATTTTTCTCCCCTATTGTGTATTCAATTTTTTAAATTCATACTCTACTTATTTTAGGCCTTTACGTATGTAGTAACATCAATTCAATGATAATTTTGGAAACTATTTTTGGTTCTTATAAATAAGAAAACAATGAAGCATGTGAATAAACATCTAAATGTTAACTCCTTGGGACCAAACTGCTATGATTTTTTTTTAAAAAAAAAAACAACCTTTTTTTTTATGTAACAGTTGAGTTTAGGGCCTTTTAAAAACTATTGTTTTCCTTTTATGTTGAAAGTTAACGAAATTAGCATGGTTTAAAAAAAAAAACAACAAGAATTCCACCCTACTTTCCACCACTGTGTGTGTACAGTGTTAGGCCTGGTGTGTGCTGGAGTCCCAAACTGCTTGTAGGCAATTTTGTGTATCCTCTTTGCAGCTGGTTGTGAACACGAGTGCTCTTTCCGAGGTAACATAGTTTTCTAAGAAACTTCAGAATTCTACTAGGTTAAAAAAATTAAAAAAAAAAAAAAAAAAGAGGAGATGAGAATTTTTCAATATTTTTTATTAATCTTTTTATAAAGACAAAAGGCGAATCCCTCCTGTGCTGGTTGAGGATGGCCGTTATGACCTATTTCTTTTTATCTTCTTCTTTACGATGCCGAGGAGCAGTCGGCAGGCAGTCCCGGGGCTGCGTCCCGCGGAGCAGGAGAGGGCTGTCCCCGCGCTGTCCCCGCCTGTGCACGTGCTGCAGAGCCACCCCTGCGCCCCCCCCAGCTCGCTGTGCCCCCTCCCCGCACACACCCATAGAGTTTGGTTTGTTTTGACTTGAACAGTTCCTGTTTAGCGAAGCCCTGAAGTTTGTTTATGCAAATAATAAAAAAAACAAAAACAATAAAAGAAGTAGTAGGTGTAACTCTGCTTTGTTTTGTGTCCTGAGTGGGGGGGAGCTCCTGTCACCAGAGACTTGGCTGGTGGGGCTGAAGGAGCAGAGGCTGGGGGGGGGCAGCCCAGGGTCGAGCTGCTGGGCAAGGAACCTTCAAAGGATGGTGGTCCTGGGAGGGTGTTTGGAGCAGTCAGTGGCTGGGGAAGAGGGAGCTGAGCCTGGTGCCTGTGGGGCTGACCCCGCTGTTAAAAATCAGCAATTCCAAGCAGTTCCTGTCCCGGAGCAACGCTCGCGAGGTTCCAGGTATTTGTGTTGTTGTTACCCTGAAGTGCTCTCTGAGTTAATCGCTAAAAGCAGCCAGCTGCTGGGGTTTGAGCAGGGACTAGACCTTTTAGCCCTGATGTGTTATCAGTAATTGTGTGGGGGGAAGAAGGGGGGTGACAGCCACAGGCCACAGTCCCCCATGAACAGGAAAAACAGCTCTATCCATGCTCTAAAACAACCCCTCACCTCTAAAACAACCCCTCTCCGAGGCTCTGGGCTCCGGTTGTAGGGGAGGGAGCTGGGTGATGCCACCCCCAGGGAGACTGCTCCCCTGCTCTGGCACCCCGGGGTGCTGGTGTGGGGTGCTCCTGGCCAGTGTGGGTTAATGGTGTTGGCCAACGGCCGTTGAGACAGGGGTGTGGGCTAACGGTTGGTGTTTCCCTTCACGCTTCTATTTGAGCACTCGAGCCACGTTGAGACAGAGGGTGCCCGGTGTGCCCAGCCCCTCAGCAGCCAAACCCAGGGCGAGCTCCCCAGGGACACCTCCACCGCCCTGTGGCCCCCAGCTCCTCCAGGGCTCGGTGGTGCCAGGTCAGTGTGTTTGGTCTAGAGGAATATTCCCACCATCAGCCTGGACCAAGCACTGGCCAGGCCCAGTTGTGGCCACCAGTGGCCCTCCTGGCTGCCACGCTGTGTGGAGGGACAGTAGCGCCGCGGCCACCCCAGCCCCGTGCGCTCGCGGTTTGTGGGTTTCAGCCCCTCTGTGGTTTAGGTTTCACTTCCCCCTCCATACCCGAGGTGACAGACACAACGTGACCCTGGTGGCTTTGAGCTGCCGGCCAGGGCCAGGCGTTTTGTTCCCGGGCTCACAGCCCGTACCGGGGGCAGCTGTGCCCCGTGTCACCCGTGTTTGGCTGCTGGTGTCACCGGCCACACCGTGGGCTGGCTCTGGGTGCTGTCAGTGGGACAGGGGGCCTTGGGGCCACTGTCAGCCCCCCAGGGGTTTGGGGTCTCCTCACAATGAGGCACCCCCGGCTGAGGGAGACGGGAGTGAGGGGAGAGCCATGAGTCCCCTTCCTGCCCTGCAGTGGGTATGGTGCAGCCGTACCCACTTCTCTTCTTCTCTTCACCTTCTCTTTAAGGTACTTTGAAACCCGTGGCCCATCGTCACACAATCCCTGAGACACCTCCACGTCGCCCACAGGTGCCCCCTTTCCCTCCCAGGCATCGCTCCTTTTGTGACTTCATGTCCTGCAATTCCTCCCAAGGGGGAGAAAAGATGGGGGGGTCTCCCTTTCTCAAGCTGCAGCTTCTGAACTGGTACCTCCTTTCCCTTTTCAATCCTTTGTGAGGCCCCTAATCGCTTCTAAGTTGTCTTCAACGACTTCCCAATTATGCCAATTGCCCCCAGCCCATTCTTTTGAGAATTTGGGACTCGGATTCACTCACATCCTCCATCAGTGGCCACTGATGCTGCTCATCCTGCCGACTGCACCAGTTTGTTGCGGATGGAGCAATGGACCACACTGGTGAGAGAGCAGAATGATGTATTTTATTGATCCCCATCCCCGAAGTGCAGCGTTAGGAGGGTTCAGCCATCACAACCCCTCTGGTGGGGATGGCTTTGGGGGGCTCACACCACCACGTGCTGGGGCGGGGGGTGTCATCTGGGTTGTCAGGAGGGGTGCAGGGCCTGGGCCGGGCCATGCTGGCGGGGTGTGAGGCTGCGGTGTGGACCGGCACCGAGCTGCTCTCATCTTCGACTTCCTTCCCAGCACCGAGCCCATTTCCTCTGGTGTCACGTGCACCGTGTGGGGCCGTGGCAGCCCTGGGAGCCTGGCACCGCACTGCGCCCCACGGCTTCGTGGGCAGCCCCACACCAGCAGGTAAGGTGAAGCGGCCGCGGTTCGGGGGGTCCTGTGCGTGGGGACCATCCTGATGGCAGCACCGGCGTGGGGACACGCTGCTCCTGGGCTGTTCTGGTGCCTCAGGAGCCGGGGGAGCTGCTGAGGAGGAGCAGGGGCTGGCGGGACATGGGGCAGGGCTGGGCACCACCAGCAGCCCCACACCACTGGGAGTGATGGAGCCCTGGGGCCCCCAGAGCAGCTCCCTGTGCCCCCAGAGCAGCTCCCTGTGCCCTCGGCGCTGGGTGCCCTCATCCCCTTCCTCATCCCTGTGGCCCTTGTGGCCGGGACCATTTTTTTGGTGGATAAAACCCACAGGTGGATAAAACACACCCATCTTTGGTGCCTGCGAGGTCACCGTGGCGAGGGCCGTGCTCATGGTGGCACAGACCAGGTGGCGTCAGGGCTACCAGCCCGCCGTGGGGACAGGGTGGCCTGCCACGGGGATGGAGTTGCCCATCACGAGGGTGGTCTGTGGGCACGTGCCTGGGGCCTGATGCCCTGGATCCTGCTCTGCTTTGGGGGGGTCTCATCCCGGTGGGACCCCGGGGTGCGGTGGCAGAGGGATGCTGCTGCGCCGTAGGCGGCGGTGGGCCGGCATCCTGCCTGTGCCGCGGTACCGGCACCCGGGGGAGGGTTGCAGCCGCCTGCTCTGCCGCACGCAGAGGAAGCGCCGACCGCAGCGGGGCTGGGTGCGTGTGGGGCTGGCAGGGGTGGGAGATGGTGGGACCACGGGCCCAGAAGCACCGTGGGACCGTGTCTCCCACCGGTCCTGCCTGTGGCCACCTCCTCCCTGGCACCCCGCTGTCCCTCACGCATCACCCTGAGCCCTGGGTCCCAGGTAGGAGCAGGGTGGGGGGAAGTGGGGAGCTGGGGATGGTCCCTGGAGACCATGTCCCAGCAGGGCAGGGGGTGGCCACCCCCCCCCCAGCTGAAGGGACCCTGCGACAGGGACCATAATGAGGGTCCTTCCCCCAGCACCTGACGAGCCCCTTTGCCCCCTGTGAGACAGTGAAGGATGAGGAGGGGGAGCACCCAAGTGAGTCCTGGGTGGGGGGAGGAGGGAGGGATGGGGACAGGGACCAGGACAGGACCCTCGTGCCCAGGACAGGTCCCCGCAGCCGGGGCTCCCTGGCGGGAAGTGCTTCCTGCCCCGCTCTCGGTTGGTGCCACACGGTGCCGCCCCCAGCCCTGCTTCCCCCTCCTCTCCCACAGCTCCCGGACCCCCCGAGGATGGAGCCGGCCAAGGTCCCCCCCAGCAAGAGGATGGCTCCTGCTCCCCCCGTCCCTGCCAAGGCCAAACCGGCCCCCACGCTGGCCAGCAAGTAAGACACATGTGGCCCTGCCAGGGCACCTGGGGCCACCGTGATGCCCCCAGCACCGCGGCCCTGCCCGTGTCCGTGCCTTGTCCCCAGATGGGAGCTCTCCTCTGGGAGGGCTGAGCATGGCCCGGCTCTGCCCTTTGACCATCTCTGCTGCCCCCCCAGACCTGCTGCTCCCCAGCCCGGTGCCTCGGCCGACGCGGAGCTGGGCAGAGCCAGAGACACAGGTGGGTGCTGGGTGTGGGCACAGGGCCATGTCCTGTGCTGGCACCGGGCGCTGACGCTCTCTCTTTGGCAGATGGTGACGCCTTCAACGTGGTGCCGGTCACCACGGCCAGGCTGAGCCACCCCACGGCCACACGCCCCCGGGTACCAGGCCAGCGGCCCCCCAGCCTCGCCCTGGGGAGCGTGGGGGGTCCCTGCGGGGGGGAGCAGCCCTGGGGGCTCGGTGCCCCTCTCCCTGGCGCGGGCCAGGCTCCCGGCCCACCGTGGAGCACGGAGGTTCTGGTGGCACCGCGGTCGGGGGAGACGCTGGCCTTGGAGGACCTGAAGGCTGAGGTGCGGTCCCTGCACATCCTCGTGGACCTGATGCGAGTCCAGCACCTGTGAGTGGGGGTGGGGGTGGCAGGGGGGGGGTCCCCAGCAGCTCCTGGCTGCCCACCGTCGGGGCTGGCCCTGGCTGAACCATCCCTGGGGGGCTGCAGGCGGGGCCCGG